CGCCTTTATACTTAGACCACTTGAGGGCTGAAGCTTAAGGAGTTTCCTTCTAAATCCTTTCAAGCTCCAAATCCTGTGGGCAACATGTCCTCATATGCAAAATCTGCTACAGAGCTGTCACCAGAAATTTTGCTTTGCAGTTCCCAACATAGTTCTCTTTCTCTAAATCAGGGTTTCTCAACCTCAGCTATAGTGACATTTTGGGCTAGACAATCCTTTCTTTGTGAGGGGACTGTCCTGTGCATTTTAAGATATTTAGCAACATCCTTGGCCTCTACCCACTAAATGCCAGTAGAAACTGCATAGTTTTGACAAGTAAAAATGTCTGCAGGCATTTTTGCCAAATGTTTTCTCTTGGGGGCCAAATCACCCCCGCCCCTGTTGAGAACTGACACTCTCAATAATAAACATGTGGACATAAATTGACAAGTTATAAAATATGTTGACAAGCAAAGCAAAAACATTCATGATAAGGACAGCAAATGCTGATAGAGCACTTATGTGGGCCAGACACTGTTTTAAGAGCTCTTTCCGTGTAAGTTTCCAAACCCATAGAGTGACTGTACCATTTTACCATTATTATTTACACGTTATAGATGAGAAAACTAAGGCATGGAAAGGTCATATAGCTTGTCCAAAGTCATGCAGCTCATAAGTGTCAGATCAAGAATTTAAACTCAGGCACTGCGACCCTGGAGTCTATGATTTGAACTCATTGTGTTTCTCTTTCAACAACAATTTGTTGGAATAGGTATCTATATGCCATTGCATGCAATATCACCTCTGATATTTACTAAGTTAATGTTCATTAAGTGAATAAATGAATGACTGTACATCCAGGGAATTACTTATTATTTTAAATCAGCATTGAATAGATTCTTCAGTTAATTTAAATGAAAAATGCACTTTTCTTTGGATATAACCAACTAAATATTATCATTAGAGTAAGGCAAGAGGATCTTAGCATTTCTAAGCCTATGCACAAGAATCTCTTGGAAAGGGTTTGCCAAGGTGACCTTTAAAGTCTCTTCCAATCAGAGCTTCTATTTATGTGCTAGGACACTTTTACAATATGTCAGAATGAAGATTGGCCAAACTGAACAAAATATTATTTCCCTGATTAGATTAAGCAAAGCATCTGCCTTGCCCTGTAATAATTGAAAACTGAATTTATCCTCCCCCTTAAACTAGGCATACACACTGATGAGGTATTAAGCATTGTATGATCGTTTAACCAAGTTCAGGAGTTATAAAAAATTAAGCATCTTTAAGTAACAGGAAACCACTTTAGCTGGTCAATCATCAGGCTTCCATAGTTGGCATTCTATAGTGAGAGAGAGAGCTGGGCTCTCAAATTTGTTATAAGTGAGTTACATCTGATTTATATCAAAGTGAGAAACTATTTTATGTAACACTACAGTATTACTCTACTGAATGTGATTTTTAGTCAATTGGAAATATTTATATAGTGCATATATATTTTTACATATATACATACATATGTACATATATGTATATGTATATGTTCAATAAGAAACCCAGTATATTTGTTTTTTATTTTTCTGGCGTGCAAACAAAACTTTTTTTTAAGAAGAATTTTCATTAAATTAAAAAATTTCCTTGACTTCATTACTAATGAAAACATTTTAAAGGATTTCTCTAGGAGCTTTATTTTTTAGGTAATTTTCCCTATTGCAGAGATCACACATCAAATTCTGAGTGATCATCATTTTGTGATTCGTGTATTTTAGATAACATATAATATCGGACATTTCTTAGTGTTTTTTATTATTTCTATGAGGAACAGTAACACTTAATTCATGCAAATTTGAGAAAAGAAACATGACTGTAAAAAAAGTTAAATGGTCTATTTTTTTGCAAAATTGGTTTTTGTTTCCTTCATTTCCATATATAACTCATTGTGAGCAATAAGGGAAAGATAAACTATAGTGCCTTAGAGAACTTCGTGCATCTTTAAATAAATAGATGAGAACTATTTGTTATTAGAATGGTCATAGTTTGAAGAGAAAATGTTGCAGGTGTTGTTGTTGAAAACTTCATGTTGATTTCATGTTTAAGTACAGAGAATTTTATACCCTGTTGAAATTTGAAGAACTAACCAGAATCTGACCCCGAAAGTCCTGAGGACTAAAGGCTCTGACTCATGCTAAACCCATGCAAATGCCCATATGTGAATTCATTTGCCCATCTTTATGCCTGTCAAAGTCAGCAAGGTAAAAGTCTTCAAGTCAGGCTGACTTCTTCTTCTTCTTCTTAGCTTAAAACATAAGTCACTTTATACTTTCTTTATTACTGAGGTTTCCAACAAATAGTTCTTGGGGACTTTTTCTATTCATCGTTCAAGAGGAACGTTTATGTGTGTCTGAAGTTTGCTGAGATGCCTGGTGAGTCAGAAGTACAGTTTGGATTTCCCTCTTTTTCTTCCTTTCAGTACTTGATTTTCACTTTTCCCTCCTCCTCACAAATTTTCATTTTCTGAAAAACCCTACACTATTACCTCTATAGAAGTTTCCAGAGTTTTCAAGGAATAAAAACTATTGACTATAGTACAGTTATAGTGAAACTTAAAGAGACTCAGTGATTCATAATTCTTCATATTCTTTTATGATTTCTATGAGTACTTACCACAGAGTAAGTAATCTATAATTTACTTCCCACACAATGGGAGTGTTAAGGTCATTCAGGAATTCTTTTTCACAAACTTGGAAGTTTAGAAGACTACAGAAAACAAAACTAAGCAAAACAGAATTCTTCAGAAAATAGGAAGTGACAGTCTTAACACTGTTTGGAATTGTTCTTCCAATTAGTGACTGGAATCTGAGTTCCACCATTTTGAGCCCCTAAGTTGCCAGAAACAAGTTTAATGACTGAATTACTGAAGGCTTCTTATGTTTTATGAATCCGTCCTCAGAAAACACCATGATTGGCAATTGTAGGCCTGGCGAAACACTAAGCCTTCATTAGTCTATAAATACCATTTTGATGTAGTTATTAAGTCAAAGATGATGGCTGGCCCAGAACACATTTTTCTATATACCTACATTAAAAAAAATATATGCCGACATGGGAAGAAAGTTAATTAATCCTGGTTCTAAAAGAGTACATTTTCCTTTAAAATGGTTATATCGTCAGTTTATTCTTCCACAAAGATCTGGACCCTGTTTATTGTCCCCGTTATGAAATTAATAATACTATAAAATACATATTTAATATGTTTTAAAGGAACATTTTACAATACTTAAAGTATAGCTATTGTTTTATGTAGTATCTACTTTCTGAAAGTTGGAAATGATCATGAATTCTTGACATAGTAGCTAAATGGTGCTCTTGCCAGCTGGCTTCCAAGCAGTCATAGATCCTACCTTAGATTTCATGGGTATGATGATAAGCTTTGTTACAATGGAGAGGCACTGGGATTTAGCCTTACTATACATTAAGAAAGAATGAAAGTAGAATTCCTATATGTTTTACTCAGTTGTTAAATCCAAAAAAGGATAAGATCTGAGAGGTGCATGTTATGGAAATAATCAAATTCAGATACTAGATCTCCTTACTTGTAAAAATAACTATAAAATTTGCATTACTCATTAATGATCATCTGAGAAATAGAACTATGCAGATTGGGGTGGGAGGTGAGTATTAAGCTGTGAACCATATTATAAATTTTTGGAGATAATTCTTTTGATGATGGAAACAAATAAGATGCTACACATGGAATAATTATCAAAAGAGCAATGTTCAAATTAATGTTGCTATGATGAAATTAACATTATGACCCAAGTGCAAATATATAATTGCCTCTGTTATATGTGAGAAATAGAGTATGTGTGACTTATTTGATAGGTAACTGGTGCCAGTTTAATAGGTTCAGAAAAGAGTTTTGTGAGTACCAACTACTGGTCATTATTTCTTCTCTTTCTTACTTCACTTAAGACCATTGTGCATTTTCTTTCTTCAACCTCCAAAAGTTAGAGAAGAGTGAAAATTGGACCAATACTATTCAGATATAGAGCACTAACTTCAATAAAAATGATTTGATGAGAACTAAAATTTTATGTCCTTATTTTCAGTCTTCTAAAGTCAACCTCAACATTTAGGCACAATAATTTAAATTATTAAAATTAAAATCCACAAAATGGTGCCAAAATTATTAAAATTATTTTCTTATTCCATGGGACATAATATTCTTAGTTATAGGTCTTAGTGAAAGTTGGCAGGAGAGGAAATCATGTTCCAATAAGTTCATTTTGTTTCTGATCATTTAATAGGATTATATAGTTTGGTGATGGAAAAAGCTAAAATTAAGGACCTTTTTCTTTTCATTTCAATTATGTGATGGCTCTAGTTCTAATAAATACAAAAAAATTTTAGTTGACTTATTATTAGAAAGTTTGATAATTATGTAGATTTTCTATGTAAAATATTTATTTTAATGCAGTGATGACCTCTTAGCTGATTACATACTCTTCAATATGCAGAAATTTTGTTAAAAATTTGGTACAGTTTCAATTTTCTGAGTATTATTGAATATGTATACCCAAATTGCACTTCTTAACAAAAGGACATAGTGCTGCCAATTATATTTCAAATAACTTTTGTTAAGTTCTGAAGTTATGTAGTTTATTTCTATATAATATCCAGGTAAGACATAGTATTATTTTATGTTGGTAAAACCCATAAAATAAAGTTGTTTAAGTACCTTCAAGTTTTTTCTGTAATTTTGACTTTATCATCTACTTTTTGATAGAATTGATAATGTAGTTATATGTTTACCAGAAACTTAAATCAGGATTAGGTCTAATATATAGGACTTTAGATTGTTTTTATTTTGATTTTTTCCCTAGCTACAGGTGCATGTTACAGCTTGCCATTGTGGTCATTGTGGTTCATCTCATTAAGCTTCATGTTCTATCTGCTTTCTTGAGACTTGGGAAACAGTATTTTTCTGAGTGATTGTACCATATTGTTCCAAATATAAGGCCAGCCAGAATAGAAGGCAACCTCCAACTAGAAACAGCTCAAATATGGAGAAAGGCTGGGGGCCCAGAGCCCGGCGGGTCTTGCAGTGGTGGCAAGGGTGCCGAGGAATAGGACGATGCCTGCCCACTCTCCCGGTGAGTGAAGATGAGTCAGCTGGATGCATTTGCTTGTGCATAACCAGATGACTTCTGTTGCTAGAGAAAAAGTTATACTGGGGGGTAGAAAACAAGTTCATACACATGAAAGAAAGTTGTATGTCTAAGTCTGGGGAGGGAGGATGGGAGTAGAATTTTTCACCTCCTAAACAATTTTCTTGTTTTTTCCCCCCACATATGGGGGTGAAAGTGGAGCAACCCCATGCAGGAGAGAAGAACAAAGGTACCCTGGATATTTTCTGATAAAAGGAGTTTAGGTCAGTGGTCCTGAAAATCATATGCCTCTAGACAAGCTCAGAAAAGTACTCCTTTGCCCTTTAAAATTGTTTACTGACAGAGGTGATGCATGCACTGTGTGTTCATATGTAGCTTGAAAACAAGCCACTCAATCTGGAAATCACATTTCCAGTTTTAGTAAGATTTTTCTCTTTTTAAATTCCCTGTTTGGCTCAGTAGCATATATTTTTAAATAGTTCAGTGAAATTATATTAGTCAACTAAGAGTATAGGTAAATTGAACCCTCATAATTCTCCCAATATTGGTCTGATTCCACTAAGTGCATAGAAAACTAACCTTTTATTTTATAGTACTAAATGAGATACAATAGAATGAGGTGCTTCATTCTGTTATTGCAATCTAGAACATTATTTAACATCTGTTGGAACTAAACTTCACCAGGCATTTGGTTACCTTTATGGCTTCACAAAAACAAAATAAAATATAAGCCTTGATCTTTCTGGTTGATTTGTAGTCCATGGCTCCCAAAGCTAGTTTGAAGGATAACTTTCATCCCTAAATGATGAATTCCCCCCCATACTCTAGGCAAGATACTATTGTAGCCCCCGCCCTTTTTTTAAGGAAACTACTTTCATTTAAAAAAATGTGTGATTTTGAATAGATATGGCCACAACAGGACTTTGTTTACATTGAAACAATGGAAAATGGCTCAGATGATTTGGTTTAAGGATGTTGTTTACATTGATTTTTAGGAGTTCTATTAAACCCAAATGCCCTGAACGATAGAGGCCCATGCATGGTATTATTGATATGCTTATCTTTTTACCAGGTCTGGAAAGAGAACCTTTGAAGCAGAAAGGCTGGGCAGAAAAGGATTTGAAAGTAAAAACAGGAAGGTGGTAGCTCAGAGTGGGAAGATTTATTGGCTTCTAAATTAGAGGAAATATGACTTTTAAGTCAGAGGAAATATGGCACTGCAATGGTGGGTCCTAAACAAGAGGTTTGAAGTGAAATCTGTGTAACCTGAGAAATCTTTGGGAATCGTTCATAAGAGTGGTACCAGGAGGAAAAGAGAAGAGTATAGGACCAACATTACTCAGGAAAGAGGAGCTTCCTTTTATAACTCCTTAGTTTTGGAACCATTTGATTCCAAAGAATCCAAAGTACAGAGGAAGATGTCCAAAATGTAAGGGTGGGTGAAGGGTGTGTCCCTTAACCATCTTTAAACTTCAGATAATTTCCCTTCCATTAGATGTATTAGGCATTATTGTGTGTGATTTGATCTGGGTTGCAAATAAAGGAAAATAAATTTTGTAATTTCTTTTCCCACAGGGGATTGGGGCTGTTCTAATTGACAATCCTGTTTCATCACCTGCTGTACATTTTAGTTTTAGTAGCAATGGAGGACAGAAGCAGAAGAAACCACCTAAGTGCCATATCCTATTGCTTCCTCTCCTTGTTGACTAGTGAGGCTGGGGGCAGGATCTGACTGGATTGTAGAACTCTTTGAGCAGGGAAAAGAATGTGGCCTCAGTAGGCTAGTGAGCTGGCAGGGGGAGCCTTTGAGGACATAGAAGAAATGACAGCAAGAAAGAAAGGGAGAAAGTCTTCCAAATTGCAAAAATAATAATCTGCAATAATAATAACATTAAGTTAATAATAATAAGCTTTCCCTATAAAGCATGGTTTACATGTAATCCATACCTATAATTGCTGGGTGCAGATTTCTCCTCTTATTTCTAAAATGTACATCATAAAAATTCTCTTGGCTGAGCATAATTGCTCACGCCTGTAATCCTAGCACTTTGGGAGGCTGAGGCAGGAGGATCACTTGAGGTCAGGAGTTCAAGACCAACCTGGGCAACATAGTGAGACCCTGTCTCTGTGAAAAAGATAAAATGTCACTAGGCATAATGGCACATGCCTGTAGTCCCAGATACTCAGGAGGCTGAGGTAGGAGGATTGCTTAAGTCCAGGAGTTGAAGGCTGCAGTGAACAATGATCGTTCCACTGCACTCCAGCCTGGGTGATGGAGAGATTCTGCAAATTAATATTCCAAACTACCATTCTCTCTCTCTTTATGAATTCTCATGATACACCTTCAGTGACTCCTCTTCAGGGTATTAGATTGATAGAATCATCTTGAGTGGAGCAATTACTAATCAATTAGTCATGAAAAATTCTGTAAATAGGTTGATAGGCAGAAATTAAAATCTCAGATTCCCTAATAGTATAACGATCTATCTATGTAAAAATAGATTTGGAGAATTCCCATGTGACTGCTTTTTCTAGAAGAGTAGATAACTGATACTCTCTTTCTTTTTTTTTTTTTTTTTGCTGATCCATTAGTCTTCCCCCAAGCACCCTTTAGAAAAAGTAGAGATCCTTAGGGGAAATTTCCAGTTCTTGTACAGAAGAATGTGGCCTACACATGTCAAATTAATCATGTACAGGTTCTAGTTTCTCACCAGTTAAGTTGAAGAACCACTAAACTAAAAATATGTAATTTATATCTATTATGTTTTTCATCTTTAAAAAAGACCAGAAAAGGACAATTTTCAGTTTTTAAAGAAAATGTTGAATTTGGATAAATCTTTTTTGAAAATGCTTTATTATAGGTCTTTCCCTCAAAAAAAGGTTTTGTGAGAGACACAGTTTCTCCAACACAAGAATGTGATGTGTCTGCATATTCTGAGACATATGGAATATGGCATTTGGCTTGCTGAGTGAGCGTGTTTAACTCAGCTATGGAGTAACTCATGAATTTCCTACTCGAATATCTTTGAGTTTCAAAAATCATTCTTGAAATATGTTTAAGGGCCATTCCTTGGGGGTGGGGCATTTCAGAGATGGCATCTGGCAATGTATTGAGGTGGCTCTTCATTATGTTTTCTTGCTGGTCAATCAGCAAGTGTGTTCCAATGAACAGACTGATAGCATTGTAGAATAGGTTAGGAAAAAGTAACAAAATGGCTAATTCTCATTTAGTAGTGAAATTGAATACTGAATGACATCTTTGTAGTTATAAACGACTTTTGTTTTAATAACAAAGTTGTTGATTTTCTACTAAGGGTTCTTTTAGGTTGTCATCAGGGGCTGATGGGAGTAACAGTTCACCCAACTCTGCAGCTAGCTTCAGTGGACATGCCACACCTTCCCAGCAGCCTGAACCTGTGGTACATTCTCTTAAGGTAACCAATCGTGTGCAACCATTTATCCAGAGCTTCAGTTGTGTTGTGGCTTGTTCGCTGTAGTCTAGTAGTCCTCACAGTCTTGCTTGAACCATAGATATTTTATTTTTTGACTCCTTATGGTGTAACTTTTTAAATCTTAATTTTTGAAGTATGATTTTAATTGTTCTAAACTGATAATGAGTTTGAGTACTTATGGTTGAATCTCTAGTTTTATCATTTTGTTTTGAGTAATGTGATTCATATCTATCGGCATCGAAGTTGAAGTCTGTGCATGTATATCCATATTTGTAAAAAACTGTGATAGGTATTTTATGTGCAATGTTTGTAGCATGGATGTCTTCAAATATAGGGAGTTAATAGTTGGTCAGAATATGGAAGGATACCACATTATTCTTTCTTGATGCAATTGAAGTACATTATACAACTTAAATAAAATAATGAAATAAATAAAAACTTAGTCTTTCCTCTTCTAAGTAGAAATTAGGTTCTCAAACTCCAGTTAATGCCCGTTATAGAATAATAGAAAATAGATATATGGTCTTATACAGAAAGCTACTTTACTTTTGTGTCTGTCTTCACGTTTTGCAGTGATTTCACAAAAATTTGCCTAAAATTTGTCATCTATTTTCTTTACCACTAATGAGCTTTCCAATAAGTAAAATTAATGAAAAATCAGGACCATAAGTACAACAATAGTCAATATAATAATATAAACAATATAATAATATAAACAATAAACAATATAAATATTTACCTATCTCAGAAGAAACTAACACAGGCAATAAATATCATCTTAAAATTGAGACAGTTTCTTGAAATTTTATCAGTTTCAGAATATGAAACACTGTCTAACAAATCTATCTATAATTTCTAACATGTAGCTTTGATCAAACCTTTCTGACCCATAAAACAGGTAGAGTGCTTCCATTCTGCTTTTACCACATGAGTTTCACAACTCTTCTTAAAATTGTTTCAATTTCAAAATGATTTATCATCAGCCTGAAGATGCACTCCTCTTTTGGAGTGAGCCACACTTTCTGTGGCTTACACAAAAAAAATACATAGATGAGAACTTCAAAATGTTTATTTCATTTTGAATGATAAAGTTTTAGCAGAAGATTTTGCTCCCTCAGGATATTTTGCTTTAGCTTATACGAAATGAATTTGCTTTTCCTAAACATATACTGATGATTGATGAGGGAAGGTAGGGCAACCATGCTAGTGGCCATTGACAATGCACTTGGCATTTTCTGTCTTTGTTGGGATAATTCACAAAGTGAGCAACTGAGAGGAATTCCTGGGAAGGCCCAGCCAGTGTGAGGGGGCACTGCTTTGCCTCTGGTGGGTGTTGGTTTATGGACTGTTGAATATCTTGTTCTCTGTGGCAGCACTTGGATGAACTTTAGCATGAATCAGGCACTAGCTATCTGAAAAGCCTTTTAGAAGTAGAAAATGGACCAGAGATTGGCTTCTATCTTGTAGTGTTATAGCATCTGCACACACTCCAACAGCAGCAGCTTGTCCTCCTATTCAAACTGTTTGAAAGCCATTTCAGCCTGTTGCCTTATTAAATGGCAATTGTTATTTGAATCAGAGCAGCATAGTGGGTCACACTGAAATCTTTTCCAGAGTTCTCAATGCAGCTGTTAGTGTGGCCTAAAAGGAAGAGGAGGGCAAGGAAGAGCTCCTCAATTTTTTCTGAATTTAGTTCTAATTTATACAATTTTATATCTGGGAGGCCGAGGTGGGTGGATCATGAGGTCAGGAGTTCGAGACCAGCCTGGCCAACATAGTGAAACCCCGTCTCTACTAAAAATACAAAAAATTAGCCAGGCGTGGTGGTGGGCGCCTGTAATCCCAGCTACTTGGGAGGCTGAGGCAGGAGAATTGCTTGAATCTGGGAGGCAGAGGTTGCAGTGAGCCAAGATTGTGCCACTGCACTCCAGCCTGAGTGACAGTGTGAGACTCCTTCTCAAACAAACAAAATACATACATATATATAAAGAGAGATATATATATATATATTTATGTATATATTTTGAGAGATACATATTTTGAGATATATTTTGAGAGATATATATTTATATATTTGATATATATTTACATATATATTTTGATATATGTATTTATATATATTTTGATATATGTATATTTATCTCCCTCTCTTGATATATATATATATCTCAACCAAATGTCGTTGGTTGGCAGATGAGTGATACTGAGCAACTAAAACATCTTTATTAGAAAACTGGGGCCCTTGAATATCAAATGTGTTTGCTTCCATGAGTTAACTGTGTTAGGACACAGAAATATATACAAACATCATTTTTGGGAAATGCATCTTAAAAAGATTTCAATATAAGAAAAAGAAATTGTGGCCACTTGACCTGTTTTGTTTTTGAGAGCCTGCTGTCTAGAGCTGATTTATTTCATGAGATATGTCTATTCTGAAAAGAATAATTAGTACAGTGGCTCAGTTTCTCACTTTCTGATAGATTTTATAGAAAATGCTAGGCTTTATAAAATCTATGGTCATGGTTTGTGGGGAAATGTAAATCACTGTAAGAAATTAGTACATTTGTAATAACACTATATTTTTCTTGTTTTAAAATTTATGATAACTATTCATTGGAACTTTACTTCATTTAGTAAAAATTAACTGATTTGAAGTACACTTCTCTGAGGTGCATTACAAATCAAATTTGTAGGTAAATGAGCTTGCTCAAGGAGCTCTTTATGTTTTCTATGAATATTCACCAAGAACAGTCAGTGATTTTCTCTAAATATGTAAAGAAGGTAAATTAACTGTAATCTGAGATATCAGGGCTCAGAAGTGACATTTTTATAATAATAATGGCTAGAAGTTTCAAATTAATGAGAGTAGTTTGTGATTAGATTAATTATTACAGGATTGAACTCTATTTAGATTCAGATAGTGTCTATGAACTTGACCTGAAGGTCCCACTTCATGCTTAAGTCATTTAGTTTGGCTCACTTGGTGTAAATTCTCAGGTAGCACCTTTAGATTTGACTGTCAGCATTGACCGTGATGACAGTAGAATCAAGTAGTTTAGCAGTGTTGCAGTTGGTGTGGATTCTGTGGGAAATTCTAGGAAGAGCATTAGTTTTTTGTATTACTTCAGCACTTGGATTTATAAACTGATATAGATAAAAACAACACAGAAAGCCAAAGTTGTTTTCTCCTTTTGTAGTATAAAAAGTACCCACAAGAAAACTTTAGATATTTTTAAAGGAATATTATTTTCAAACTATTTAGGACTAATTTAGAGAAGTGGAAACATAGGGCTCTAAAACTGTTTAAAAGGCATTTTATTCAAAGACATTTTGCTTTCATGAAAAATATTTAAAGTGTTGTTCAAATATTTTCACTATAAGGAGCCAGTACTTCTCTTTGATACTATCAAAGAGCCACCTCCACATGCCTTTTCTCAGGCACTGGGAACATGTCCAGGCAAGAACTGCGAGGTCAGTAGTTCTTATGTGCATATTCCTGGGTTTTGACCAGTTTCACCTGTCGCTGTCATCTTTTTTAGTCATCTTTTATGCAGGCCATGTCTACATATCATTTGGACCATTTGGCACATAGTTAACTATATTGGTCATCATTACAGTGGAGCAAGAGTTATTGACTATATCCAAATGGTTGACACAGTGAGGTTATCTTAATGACCAAAGTAAATGCATATGCTTATTTTAGACATTAATGAATTCCATTGATTATTAGTGATGCAATGGATTGCTTTTAATGGCCATTTGAAAATCAAATAGAATAATTTCAAATAGATTTCAGAACAATCAGCTATTTAAAAAATATGTTGCCATATACTAATCCACTCTGATATGCAGACATGGAGAAAACTAAAGGTTTTACAAAGTGGAGCTCCTTGATGGTTTTATCATAACTAACAAGCTTTTTTCCATGTGAAATTTGCTTTTCTTTTTCAACAAATCCAGGTCTTGGATGTTCAGGAAACTATAGATCGTCAACAGGGTAAAGAGTATGAACATGACCTTAGTGAGACAGAAAAAGCTATAGTCAGAGAAATGTGCAATGTAAGTTTAATGTGCTTTATTGTGTATTCTGTGTTGAAAGCCACATCGTAGCTTAGCTATTGTTTTATGAATATTTTTAAAATGCTAACCAAATGCCTTTACATTTTTATATGAAAATAAAACAAATTTCCCTTGGTTTTATATTCAGTATATTTTATTGTAGTTTTATTAACACAATCATGTTACAAAATATTCAATTTAGAGATGATCAGCCAATTCTGTATTCCAGAAGACTCTACAAACATTTCTAAATACTAAATTTACTGTCTAAAATATGTTTCTAATTTTGATAAAAATAAGTGGGTTTCTATTTTATACTTCTAAGAAGTTTGTTAAAGATCAGTGTTTAAAAACCTATGATAAAGAAAATACAGCCACCTTTAGATTTACTTGTAACTATTCTTGGAAAAAATTGCCACCTTACTAGGTAATTTTGCTTAGTTCTTCATATATCATATATGTGTGTTTCATGTCATGCAAAGTATTATCTTTAGCTTTCAGTTGTTGACCCAAACTCAGAATATAGTAAGGTAATAAAAACAGATAAGAACCTAAAAGATAGTTAGGCCAGGCACAGTGGCTGTCACCTATAATCCCAGCACTTTGGGAGGCTGAAGAGGGAAAAATGCTCTAGCCCAGGAGTTTGAGGCTGCAATGAGCTATGGTCATACCACTCCACTCCAGCCTGGGCAATAGAATGAGACCCTGTCTCAGAAAAGAAAAAAGAGGATAGACAGATAGAAATCTATCCATGAAGTCAGAGACCACAGGAAAAAAAAAAAAGACGTTATTTTCATGATGCATATTCAATGCAATCATTAATATGGCTTGGATTTTACTATTAATCCCTGACTAAATTTTAATTTTTTGAGTAATATACATGGGATGTATCATTTAATCAATAATATAATTTGTGAAGTTTTAAATAGCTAAATGGAATATTGTAGAGGAAGCAAGAAATCATGGTTAAGCACTGATCATGTTAAACACTGATTTTAATTGGCTTTACATTATACTTTTATCCTCATATTCTTTTCTCTATCCTATCAGGATGTGAAATTGCTTAGAAATACCCTTCAGCTTTAAATCTATTAGGACCAGATTTTCTCAGACACTTACTCATCTACCTCCTCGAGATGTTTCTGGAATCCAGTAAATGTTATATAAGTTCCCTGGGCATTTTTTATGTGCTAGAATGAGATTTGTAGTCTCTTGCTTGCCTGTGTTGTGGCCGATTTTTCTCTTCCAACTCTTCCTACGTTATTTGTTTTTCTTTCCTGCATATCTATTGTCTGTTTTCAAAAGGTCACTAGTTCTAGATGTCATCTCTCCTAAATGCACCACCATTCACCTTCTGTAGCTTTTCAACCTGTGCTTAAGATTTTCAGTTTGAATATTTCCCGCAGATAAATTTTAAAAAGCAAGCCACATACCTAGGAATGCCTGTTGCTTCTCATCTATTGACTGTGGAATGAGAGAGAAAGTTCAGACAATAGGAACTGTTGAACTAGAAGGAGCCATAGAGGTCATTCTCCAGTGTTTGTCCAAAGAATAGTATATGGACCGCCTTCATAATTCAGATCTCTGAGTTTAACATCAGACCTCAGGCGATTCAGATATGAACCCCTGGGTAAGAACCCAAACACTCTAATTCTGTATTTGAAGAAACTAAGATCCAGAAATTAAGTTACTTGCTCAAACTATTTTCTAATGAATAGTGAAGTGAGGAGTACACCAAAATTTCCTTTGAGGACCTTTCCTGAGGAACGAAAAGTGAAAAGCACGTATCTTACAGAGGGGGCCATCTCCATGGTGCTTAATGCCAGAATTTCTGCAAAAAATTCCAGGATTGTTTCTTTCCCTTTCCTTTCCTTCCTTTCAGTTTCTGGACATTAGAAAATTCGTATCTTAGTCTCAATAGAGACCCATTACTGGATTGGATTTTTATCAGTTTTATGTTGATCTTTTTGTTTGCCTGCATTTTCAAAAATGAATTGAAAGGCACCATACAGTATTATTTTTATTTTTTACTATGTAAGATACTTTCAGAAAGCCAAAAGCTTGCCCTCTTTGTTTACCTGTAAAAGTTCTCTAGGAGTATGCTTTCTGTCTACTTTTGTCTTCGATCCCCAGAATTTGAGGAAAAAATGCAAACAAACCCAAATCTGATTCTTAAGCAATTTTATATATTTGGAAACAATCAAAAAATTTTATTGTCACCATTATTAACTATATGATCAAAAACACATAGTAAATGCCACAGAATAAAGAAAAATGCAGATTGTAAAGCAGTTGCATAGATAAATTGTGAAACTAGTGAAAATTATGAAGGCTTGGTTTCTAGTAGAGAAATTATATGCCTTTATAATAATGTCACAGAAAAATAAAGCTTTCTCATAATATGAGATGGGTTATAAGACTCAGATAGAACTTGGGACGATAGAAGTTTTGCTGTCATTTCTAGTATTGCTCCTAGAGATAAGATGTTGTTGACATCTACACAGCAAAAAGATTATTATTCATGTTACCTTATGTGGGTTAGTATGTAGTTAGCTATTCTCTTCCCAAACTGTGCTACAGAAATTAATATACTGCCCCCTAAGAAATAGTAAATCTGTCTTTTTGTAGTAGTAGTTTTATTTTAGGTTTGTCTGTTTGGCTCTTGTAAATTCCCTGAGGACAATTGAAATATTTGAGTGGTCATCTCAGTCACAGTCTCAAACACACACCTGTTATGCCTTTTTTAGTTAATAAGTCACGTGTCAACCTAAGTATTGTTGGTTTATTTCAAAGTTCTGCCTTCTTTAAGAGTTTCCTTTCACTACATAGTTATATCTGGGGTAAGCTCATTGCATTCTACATTTCAGTATTTGAAGAGGAGTTGCACTTTTGAGTTGTAATCATCTGGTGCTGGTATCTGTTATCCTTGTAAGGTCCTTAAGTCTACCCTCTGCTTCTAAACCACACATTCAAAGCATTCTGGATAGATGTAATTATATTTAAGAGCTAGAAAAGGAAAGTCCATAGCATCCTTTGGCTCCTTGATTCAGTGTTTGTCTCGTGTCAATTTATTAAGAAATGAGACTTTCCTAACCCTCTTGTGTATAGCTTGAGCCATCCATTGCTATGTATTAATAATTCCTTTCCAGATATTTAAGAACCCTAACTTCAGCTCCTTTTGAATAGAACAGGATATTTATGCCATGTATTGCTATATGCTGAGACATTGAGATGAATAGTTTCTTTGGCTTGGAAATGAAGGTAAACAGAACCCTATATTGTGTATTACTATTAATGATATTGGGTTTCCCTGTAGTATCCACTTCTATTTAAAAGCAAAAACAAAACCAAACAAAAGGAACAGTTGTGAATAATTAATGAACAAACTAGTTTTATGTTCATGTTAGAGTTTTGTAAAGTTTTGTGCAGTCAGTCAATCTGATCATAATCCCTTGCGTGAAATAGTCGGGGAGGGTATGGCTGTTATTGTGCATGTGCACATACATGCATGTGCATGTGTGTGTATTCCAATCAATGTTAGTGTATTGATACATTATTGGCAAATTCAGTAGTTTTACATTTATGCTTACATTATTCTTGGTCTCACCTTTTGTTTCTCTGTGTGGCCCAGCTTCTAACATATTGTAATTGTATCTCTTTCAGTGATTTTGAATTTATTCTTATCATCTTCCTACATTTGGATGCTTTCTGTTTTGGAAATCCGAGAGATCATATTGCTTGGTAGCTAAGATTTGTGAAAACTGATGATCCCACTCTGTAGAAAAAGCCAAAGAAATTTACTAGTGGCCCTAAGACTACCACCTCAGGACTTAAATAGCTCAATAACAAAAGCTCCTTCATTTTCCTCAGCGCATTAAATACTGATATCCTTTGTTATGGGTGTATAATATAGGAACCAGGATGATCTTGCTAAGGTGTTCTTAATTCTGGCTACACATTAGAATTACTTTTAGAGCTTTTTTAAAAAGCGTAGTCGTCCATGCCTCACTTCTGCCGGTGAAATCAGAATCTTCGAGGATGGGGATTACTGTTTAAGAGCTCCTCAAGTGCTTAGTGTGCAGTCAGAGTTGGGGACCATTTATGTAACTACAGTAAGTTAATATATCATTTTAAAATTTTGACCCTGGTTACTAACAAGGTTTAGTAGTCCCAACTACTAAGTAGTTCTTTTGTTTTAAGAAGCTTGTCATCACATTTTATTTTGTATTTGAACTCATTCATGTGGATATTTTGTCTCTTGTCTTTACTTCATCTTTGCTCCTCTCTTAATTTACCCTTAAGAAACGCAAATCTCCTTGTGGAAGAGGAAAAGTAAGATATTCACTCCATCTTCTTTTTTTTTTGAAGGTTGTGTGGAGGAAACTTGGAGATGCTGCAGGTTCGTGTCCTGGAATTAGGCAACATCTGTCAGGAAACCAGTACAAAGGACCAATGTGAGATGCGCTCTTTTTCAAACAGGAGATCACCACTGCCAGAAAGAGATTAGAAGACAAGAAGAAGAAAAAGGAAACAGTGGGTTTCCACAAACCTGGACTCATGGAATAACATGGAGTGATTGTACATTGCACATATCTCCCCTCTAAAACCTGTAGTACAACTTCTCCCCTCAAGCTGATATTCTGTGTATCTCACCTCAATGTCCACAACAGTCAATCTCAAACAAGGTAGCTTTGAAAATCTCAAAAAGAGTAGCTTTGAAAATCACCATTTTGGTACCAGTGTTTTCATTAGAACTAAGTGTTTTTATCCCCAGATATAATATCGTAATTGGGAAATCTGCATAGTTTTAAGAGTCCAGTGGAGCCTCAGTGTTCTGAATAGAGTTGACTCCTTACACATAATGGTGGGAGTTTTCTACCATGTCATATTGAAGATATGAAGAGGTATTTTCCAGCTTCCCAAGTTTGAGAGTTGGGCATCTACCTCTTATACTTCAGTCAACCAACAAACTACTAATTCCGGATTCATAATTAATTTGGATGCAAGATAAGATTAAGTTTTTGGAGTTTGGTGTTGACTTCTGAGGTGCTAAAAAATACCACGTAAATTCTCCCTACCAGCTAGAAAGGTAGCAAGACTTTGTAGAGTGCTTATCAGAGAGTACCATTGACTTCAATTGATCAATATAAATATATCTTTTTCTTTTCATCTTAATGAGTTTCTCATAAAGACACATCTTGGGGCATACAAGCCTTCATATTCATTCAGTGGATCCATTGATGTTCATATTAACAATTTCAACTAAAAACTAGCAAACATAATTTTTCTAAATGTTTCGAGCTGTGAGATGTCAATTTCTATAATTTAGTTTCTAGACATGCTGTATATTTAATAAACTTTATGTAAACTTTAAAATATTGCACTGCATTTATGAAAAAAGCTTTCTTTGCCTACTGCAGCAATCTAACATTTTATGAAACTGACGCATGTCCTTCATTATTGAGGCTAAAAGCTCTTGTTCAGATTGCCTGAGGTTTGAAAAAGAGGTGTGCTAGCTTTGCTTAGTTTATTTCTTATTTTTGGTATACATATACATATATATAATATTAGAATGTGTGTACTGGAAATGCTATGATAGGTATTTTGTGTTTATCCAAATGCAATGATAGTTTCTTGTATGAATGTGCAAGAGGCCTGTGACCGAATGCTACGTTTTTATGGTAGTTTAAGATTATAAAAGTAGAAATGCAACAATTCCCAGTTTTGGGATAGGTTCTACATTTCTGAGATTTGATTCATAGCAGATATTCTCTGTTGTTGTTTTAGATGGGCTCATTACACAATGAGTTAATTGTCACTAGTAGGAGACTGTGAAGGAATTTTGTTATACTTTCAAAAATGTTAACTGTGATGAAAAATCATCCCTCTATTTTCAGAAAATATTTATGTATTAATTTACTATAGAATTATCTCTCTAATTATCATAATTGGGTTACAATTTAAGCTTCCCTTTAAAAATGTTATATTTTAAAATGTTATTACTCTATAAAAGAAAATTGCCTGCTATATTTACACCTTCTTTCCTAGGAAAGCTTTCATCCTTAAATTGTTGTATTCCTACACTCTGAAGACATTTAAAATAAGCTTTTGTGCCTGCAGCAGAGCCTGCAGAAGCTAATACAAGGGACACTGGTCTTTTGACAAAATAAAGTTGTGTAAATTTTGATACTGTATTAAAACTATTTTTTTAAAGTTCTGCATAAAATTGAGTATTAAGTATATGTGTTCATCTTAGCAATGGTAATAAATTATTTAATCTCACAGTGTTTTTGTCTTCTTCAAAATGTCTTTCCTAAATTAAGTCCATTTGTAGTAGTCATTACATGTCCTAATGCTCCTGTATGATGGTAGTAATACTAGTAATACAGATGATTCATTATCTTAAACATAAACCAAAGGCATGTTTTAAAATATGCTCATAATGAGGGATTAAATATTCAGATATTTCTCAACTTGCACCATTCTCCATTATAATGGAGTTAAAGCTTTCAAATGATATTTAAAAATATTTAAAAATATTTGTTATAAAATCTTCTTAGTCTTTTAATTTATATAGATTAAAATTAAACTTCATTATTATCTACTTATTTTTAAAACATTAGTCATCAGAAGGAAATATTTTGGAGGGGAAGTACCAAGTAAATGGAAAACTTGGCCTCTTTAAGAAACTTATACATTACTGGGAAAGGCATAATAGATACATGTGACCAAGAGATCAATAGGAAAGCACACACACAAATGTGCTCAGAGAACACACATACTTCTTGGATGTCACTAGTAAGATTGTGGAATAAGGCTTTCTACACTTAGTATTAGCCTCAACTTTAAATGACAGAGAAGATGGACAACTAAGTGCCTGAATCTTGCTATTGCCTAATACCTTTATCAATCAAAATGAGTGGCACCATTCTCTTATGTGACCAGGTTATTAGTTTATGATCTTATCTTCTCTGGGACAAAGGTTAATGTATCTATCTTGGCAGAATATTTTTACCAGCCTTGAAGCTGCTAGACTGACAATCAGACTCTGAGCTTTTAAATGCATGCCTTTCAAGTTTCAAACTCGTGCTTAAGGCACTGTTGGGAATTCAGATCATCTTATGTAATATCCAGTAAAATAATGACAGTCTAATTGGGATGATTGTTCCTTAGGTCAACAAATATTTAATGAATGCCTATCACTGCCATGTGAGTAAACACAGCTTTTGTTCCTGACTCATAGGGCGGACTACTCTCAAGAAATACATGTAAGAGTAGTATCTGGGATGCTAGCTGGAGCTTTTTGATCCTTGAGATCGAGATAGGATTGCCTCGAACATCCAGTTTCTTGATCTGAGTAAGCAGTATCCAAATGATTTCCACTAATTTCCGGAGTTCACACTCTGTAGTAAGCTTCTTGTTGCCTCATACCACCTCTACATCAGGGGCAACCTGATTTCCCCTGTAGAAACCTTGGTTGGAATCTATTCCTGGAAAGAATCTGTCTACCTCAAGCTGGCTTATCAAGGTAGATGCCCAACAAAGCTCAAGGCACTGCTATGAGGAATTCATATGCTAATATACATTTTTAATTCTTTTCCTTCTAAAGACTAAAAATTATCAACCCTGTTACACAATTACAGACAGTATAGTAGGTTGAACCATAGGAAATTGCCAATATTTGAGCACTTTTGGATTATTAAAACAGTAATTTCATACGGTTCAACCTCTCAAGATGAAGAGTTTTTTTGGTGGGAATTATAGAGTGAATACAGTAGAAGTTATAGAAGAGCCATCACATTGGGCTGGAGCTATCTTAAAGTATGCTGTATTAAGTGCAGCATTCAATAAAGAACATTTGACTTCAGAGAGGCAGAATTTGGGCCAGCAAGTTCAGCATTTGACTTTATAATTAGCTTTGTGAGTCTGAGCAATTTAACTTCACTGAGACTATTTCCTCACATGCTGTATGGAGATAACATCTATATTGCTGAGTTGTTGTAAGGTTTTTATCGCTGCCTTTATTTTAAAATTCAATGGTCTTGACAGACCATTGAGCCTATGTCAAAGACATAGGAGCCCAGACCTCATGGTCTGTTGCAATTTATACTATTAGACTGGAAGAGAAAAATCACATAAGTGCTGAAGATCTGTCACTACCAGATAAAGTAATTCTAGCTGTGCAGTTAAATACTGTGAAGTTCTGTCCTTTTTACATCATCCAGGCTACCACAGGCTCTTTTCTGGCCAATCACAGATGGTGATTGTGTGAATGGAGGGGAAATAAAGGACATTGGTCTAATACTCACATATGAACAGTAGGTTTTACAACAAAATCTCTACAACTATTTAATTCTGTATTTGTTTTTCACCTCACTGAGTGAACAAGAAAAAAACTTTCATTTCAAAACGGCAGGATGAGTACCTGCTGCAGCTTCCTTTTCTTGCCTCAAACCTTAAAAATGATTTAAACAGTATTTTGATAAATAAATGCATAACCCCACTAGACCGTAAGAAATAATGTGCTCCGTGGGCCAGCAGTTATGATGAATTTTGGAAAGAAGGGAGACAAACAGTATCTGAATGAAGAACAAATCGATAATTCAAAGTACATGACAAAAGGTATTTTTAAAAACGAAGATGGCTACAAGGGTGCTCCAAACAGGGAGGAATTGGATACATGCATTGTGTGGTATCCTGGGGTAAGTGACAATACCTAGGCATTTTGATTCCTGCATTTAACTGCTCTCTCCTTGATTCGGGAAGAGAACAATAAAAATAGATTCATTTTGCCAGAATTCAGCAGAAGATTTTTTAAAGTCTGACAATGAAGGGATATAGAGTCTGCATTTGTAAATTTCCACAGTGCTTTCTCTCACTCTCTACCTTTGCTCTTCATCCTTCTCTCCTTTTATTTCCTAGTTGTTTTTTAATTGACCTATTTTGTTTATTTATTTCATTTCAATAGCTTTTGGGGAACAGGTGGTGTTCGGTTACATGACTAAGTTCTGTAAGTGTGATTTCTGAGATTTTGGTGCACCTATCACCCGAGCAGTGTACACTGTACCCAATGTGTAATCTTTTATCCCTCATCCCCTTCTCCCACTTTCCCCCCAAATCCCCAAAGTCCATTATATCATTCTTATGTCTTTGGGTTCCTCATAGCTTAGCTCCCACTTATGTGTGAGAACACAGAATGTTTGGTTTTCCATTCCTGAGTTACTTCACCTAGAATTATGGTCTCCAACTCCATCCAGGTTGCTGCAAATGCCATTATTTCATTAATTTTTATGGCTAAGTAGTATTCCATGGTATGTGCGTGTATACATGGGTCATTGGGTATACATGGTGTATACATGGGTCATTGGGTCATTGTCATGGAAAGAGGCAGTGACTCTCAGGTGTTGCCATGGCAATGATAAGTTGACATGGCAGACTGGTGGGCATGTCCAATTGGAAAGCTGCTTCTGCCCCCCCCTCTTTGTGTATACATACACACTATGGAGTACTACTTAGCCATAAAAAGGAATGAAATAATGGCATTTGCAGCAACCTGGATGGAGTTGGAGACCATAATTCTAAGTGAAGTAACAGGATATATGTATACACACACACATGTATATACGTGTGTGTGTATATGTGTGTGTATATATGTATATGTATATATGTATATATGTGTATATATGTATATATGTGTATATATGTATATATGTGTATATGTATATATGTATATATGTGTATATATGTATATATATGTGTGTGTGTATATATATAATGGCATTTTCAAAAATATTTTTGAAAAAGCTGTGATATCGATACATTCAGTAGTTAAAAATGACTGTCATTCCACAGGAGGAGAATTAAGGAAATTCTAAGCCATCCGCAATAAAATACTAAGCCATCTGCAATAAAAACAGAACAAAAATAAGACAACTCTGCTTTTTCCCCCCTTTTTTTGCATTTGCTGTTGTGAATAAACTTTTCATCTAAAGTTCGGAATAAATATGTCATATATATGTATGTGTGCATGTGTGTGTATATGTGTATATGTGTGTGTGTATATATACACATACATACATATTTTTTTAAGAATTTGCATTTATACTTAAACAGATTTAGTAACTTTGTTAAAAATATCCAAATAATATATTTCTATAGTGGATAAAGTGAAACATAGTCCTCGTTCTTTTCTAAGATGGCATAACAACCTCTAAAATTTTAGCATGAGGCTTTTATAAAGATACCTCTACACACAATGTACATTGACTTTTTCCTCACCAAGATCCTCTTCAACTTACAACAGGGGGCCCAAATTATTTTATTTGAAGCAAATTTCCTTTTGCTCCCAAAGGGAAGATAGTACAAGCGGAGCCAAGGTATCATGATTAACGCACATGTCTTAATTGGCATTTATATTGGATGAAGTGTATTCAGCTCACAGAGGAAGAAGAAGACGAGGAAAGATTTTAAAAACAAAGAATTCAAATTGGCTCAGTTTGGTAGTTGGAATTCTAGGCATGCTATCATAGAAAACTGACTCTGATTTTTTTGCATTTGTTCATCTCTTCTGTATTCTTTGCCTTAAAATTATTCTGAAACTTTACTTGTAGTAATTTGGTGTCATTAAGTGACTGAGAGCACTCACCAGTCAGTTCCTTCTTCAATGAAGAGCTCCCAGTGTGTGGATTAATGTACACATTTTCTTTCCTATATTTTCCTCTCTAATGACCTGAACAATTTGTTAAGGCCCCACTTAGCAGATGTGAACAGCAACTGTGGTGATTATGGGCTCACATCATGTGTTGTGCCCTGCTGATGTTGTTCAAGTGATCAAATATTCTGAACATCATACAATTCACTGTGACTTTAAGGATGGAACCCACGGAGAAGAATGCCCAGGATAACTTTGGTAATGGGTGCAATTAGTACCAACTTTGCTTTTGTTTTGAGTCTCTCTTGTCTTTTAAAAAGAATAATCAGACTAGAAAATATAGAACAAACCAATAACAGTTACAGAAAGGTGCCCCGAGGGGTTGAAAAATCACAAGTGGATTCCTAAGAACTTCTATTTTTAGTAGTGGTGTTTGCTTATCTATCCTAAGGCAATGTACTAAATCCACTTACAAGCAGTAAAGCATTTTTATGTATAAAAGTCTTTTTATGTAAAAAGAAACAAATAATGTTTCTTTTTAAAACATCACAAACATGCCAATTCACTAATTAATTGTGATACTATTGGTTTGTTTTCATTCATATATCATACAACATGTGTTTGAATCTAT